CCAAGTCAGACTTGTTTATCAGTGAATCCGTCGCGTCCTTACCCCCGCCGACCAACCGATGCGGACAACAACAACGACCGACTGCCGCCGCGGCCGCATCCCGCAGCTCACCGTCATAGTGTCATTGTCATACAACGATACAAGTCACAAGAGTTGAAGAGTACAAGACTGAAGTTTTGGAATCGATCACTGTCAGGTAAGAATCTCATATTTCATAAACTATAGCTATAAATGCCTATAATATAGTAACTATACCTATAATAAAAAATAATAAGTATAATATAAGTATTTTATATTAATATTATATTTTTTCAATTATAATATAATATGTACAGAGGTACTACAATTGTAATTTTATATGTGTGTGGTGTATTTGCAAATAACACTGTGTAGTGTTTGAGTAGGTACCTATAATATATTATTGTTTACGTTTTTGTGTTTAATGTTTTAATTTAATTATTTAGAGGATGTTGCGCGTGGGCCAGAGAGAGAAGATAAATAGTGCATCTTCTCTCTCTTGCCCACGCGCAACATGGACAAAACGCATTAACGCAGAAATGCAGAAAATTATTTATTTTCAAAATAAACAAAAAAATGTTGTTAATTTAAATTATGTTTTAATTGTTTTGAGACAATATTTAGACAAATCGATATGTCATTCCCTTAAAAATATTATTGTCTATCTTTTTTGTAATGGGTGATTTTACTCTAAGATTAGTTAAAAACTATAGAACAAAGTTCTGCTTAAATGCATTTTGTCTATGTTGCGTGTGGGCCTGAGAGAGAAAACAAATAGTGTGCTGACATTCTCTTAAGATTGAGAATTTCATACTATCAGTATTATTTTCATATTATTATTATACTTTTTATAATTAATTATATGAAAAGTTATTTCTAGTACCTATTAATAACGGTAGCTAAGTAACTATTAGTTATATTAAAAATATATTTTGTTGTGTATTTTAATTTATTTGAATATTACCAAATATAATTTTTAAAGCATGTCCTATACCGTTGGTATAATCATTTCATTTTAAAATTGGTGTTTTTATAATATACCTACTTTATTGGCTAAATAATATAACCTGGAAAATTTGAGGAAAATGAATAGTTAAATATCGTAGCAATTGTAAATTGAACTAAAATTGTTTAAATTAGGTACCTATTATGTATTACTTTATTATAGGTGCCTACATAGTACATCAGTTTATAATAAATTCTCCTATCATTTTAAAATTATTAAATTAAATTATATTATACTCTACAATAATGTATTGTATTTATGCAAATCATTTTAAACTAATCTGTAATACTAATATGTTAATTCATATAATACACCTTATACTACCATATAATACTTAGGTACCTATTTCATATTTTCCGTTATATGTAATTGTTTTATCATCCATAGTTTAAAATGATCAAGACTCCTGGTTACAGAACTAAACGTAGAAAAATTCAAAAAGAATTAAATGCTTTGGATTATTGGATTAACAGACCATGTGAAGATGAATTAATTACACCTAATTCAAATACGGTTTTACATATTGTATCACCTCAATTAAGTCAAGAAAAAAGTCCTTTGAATTTTAGCTTGGAGAACAGTTTTGATCAGCGTATTCAATTTGTTCCTGAAAATTGTATTGCTGATAACAACTCTATACTTCAAACTGTGACCACGTCTGATTCTATTAAGCTAACAAAATCCAATACAAATAATAATAATTACGAAGAAAATGTGTTACAGTCTTTACAAGAGTGGGCAGTACAATGTAATGTTCATCAAAGTACAGTTACTAAACTTTTAAAAATATTAAAGTATAAAGCTGATCTATTATTTTTACCCGAAACCTGCCGAACACTACTTCATACTGAGTCAACAAAATTAATTGGTATACGAGAAGTGAATCCTGGTGTTTACTATCATTTTGGGCTATTTAATGGTATAATTAAGTATTCTTCTACAATTCCCATTCAAGAATGCATAAATATTGCTGTTGGAGTTGATGGGCTACCAATATCAAAAAGCAGTTCTGGTCAATTTTGGCCAATTTTGGCCTATATTGTTCCCTACCGTAATTATGTTTTCCCCATAGGAATATACTATGGTAATGAGAAACCACGAGATAGTAATGAATACCTTAAAGATTTTATTTCAGAAGTTATAGATTTAACAACTAACGGAATTATCATAAATAATGAAAAAAAAAAGGTAGTGATTGAAGTTATATGTTGTGACGCTCCAGCTAAATCATTTTTATTAAGAGTGAGAGAATACGGGGTTTTTTAGGGCTCCGTAAACTACCCACGACAAAAGGGGAACACTTTTGTCGCGACCTGTGAGCCGCACCGCGTGATGACCCAAGGGCCAAGTCGGTGGAGCTCACAGGCTTTGAACACGCAACGGCAAGTGAATGCCGAGGATTTATTAAAGGGGAAAATAATATAAAATAATAAGAAAAGTTTTAGGGTAATCACGTGGATATATTAAATTGGCATTACAAGGGGAAATTGAAATTTAAACATTATAAAGATTAAGAATAATATAACAATGATAATATGATCTAATAATTTTGGCGCACGGCAAATGCAAACAATATAATTTGGTGGCACATGGCATATATAAAGTAATAATTTAACTTTGGTCGCATGCTTTCCCGGCCCGCCGGAGGCGACACACCATATTACTCATGGTGTGTCCTCGCAGGGTTACCGGGAAAGCGTGCCGGGAAAGGGGGGACAGGGGAAATAAAAAACATATTACGACATTTGATATTTTGATGTGACGAGCTGCGTGGTCGATGTTGTAAGCTGGAGCAGTTGTGGCCGCCGCCCGGGCCCTCGTGGTTCACTCAGCCCATCATGGTGAGCGATCGCAGGTGTCACAGTATGTTGACGGTAGTTGAAAACGATTTTCGGAAGTGGGTTGTTTGTCGATCAACTCGGTTGCCTCGTGGTCTGCAGGTCGTTTAACAAAGACGAGTGTATGAAGTCGACCGGGCAGGTGTGGAGATGTCAACCAGACAGGTGAAAGGCCGTAAAAAGAGTGATTTTGCTGACACGGAAACCCGGCGACGACGGTGGCTTGTTGCCGGCGGCGGAGCTTTTCTTTTCGTTGGTGGGGCAGGTCAGTGTCGTCATTGTGTGGGAATGTACAATATGTTCGGGTCGTTCAGGACTGTTCTGCCGGTGCGGTGCCGTCGGACGCGACAAAAGCGCCGACAGCAACGGCGGCCGTGTGTGGCGACATGAGGACACCGTGCACTGCGGGTTTGTGGGGGCCGGGGAACAATAATTACATAATACTGCGGTCATTTCTGCAATAGCGCGCGATAATCGTAATAATTTATAAATAAGGTACGCTCATTAGTGGCAATATGGGTACAGGTATGTTTGTTATTGTAATAATATGAATGCAAAAAATGCTGTGACGTTACAGAACCCCCCCAACAAATTGTTGAAGGTGTCTGCAAGAATACCTGAGAACCATTTGTTGTAGAGTAAGAGGGCAGAATTTTTTGGGAATGACCATAGACTAGCAATTAGAGGGAATTTAACATTTGAATTAGGGACATCATAATAATAATCGAATATATAATAATAAAATTTGCAACCATAAAAGAATAATCAAGTTGGGTTAGGGAGTATGAGTGGTTTTAAGGGGACCAGTGTGGGCATAATAATAATGGAATAATAATACAACTTGTTTGACCAAGTGGTCAGGAATATAAAGGGACCAATGGGTGTTAGCTTTGGTTGTTCGAATAAATAAAGTGTCTTTTTTCAAAGTATAATATTGCTTCCAGACTGGTGGGTGATTTGATTTTAATTTAATAATGATATTTTTTAAGCGGGGGTCTTTTTGTTGTTCAGATGAGATATTGTTAAATATTGAAATAATGTCGGGAGGAATAGGTGGGGGGAGAGTATAATGTAGAATACTGGGGGAGTCTTTGGGTGGTTGATCGTCGCGACCAAGGGGGTGTCTTGACAGGGTATCTATGGGATTGTCTTTCCCAGGACAGTGAATAATTTTGAGATCAAACTCTTGGAGTGCAAGAGTCCAACGGGTGAGACGGGAGTTTTTTAATTTACAAGAGAAGAGAAATGTTAAAGCTTTATGGTCAGTATATAAATTAATTGGGTGGCCGAGAATATAAATTTTGAATTTCTGACAGGCAAACAGAATACCTAGCAGCTCTAGTTCAGTCACTGTGTAGTTCCTTTCGGCACCACACAGTGACCTACTTGCGAACGACAGGGTATCGCGTTGGCCCGCAGCGTTAATTTGGAAAAGTTCTGCTCCAAGTCCTATGTACGAGGCATCGGTTTGGATACAGAAGGGAATATTAAAATCGGGGTGAGTTAATGATATTTGAAGGGAGAAAGCAGTTTTTATTTTTTGGAAAGCTATTTTATCTTGTTCGGTGAATATCCAGGGGGTGTCTTTACAAATGAGATGAGAAAGGGGGTGTAAGAGAGAAGAATGATTTTGTGAGAATTTACGATAGAAGTTACAGAAGCCGAAAAATGATTGGAGGTCCTTTTTATTACGAGGTTCGGGAAAATTTTGAAGGGCGTTAACTTTGTCGGGGTCCATGATCATACCGGTAGGGGATATAAAGTGACCGAGAAATTTAATTTGTTTTTTATTGAAGTGACATTTTTTAAATTTTAGAGTGAGGCCTGCTAGAGAGATTTTGTGAAAAATAAACTCTAGAGTCTCAAGGTGTGTTTCGAAAGAAGGGGAGGATACTAATATGTCGTCGACGTAGGTATGAATGTCATTAGGGGAGGGACAGGGGCTAGTATAATTATTTAGGGCGGCTTCTAATCCTTTCCCAAAGGCTGCATTGGAAATATTTAACCCAAAAGGCACTACACAAAATTGGTAGGACCTTCCGTCGTAGAGGAAACTGGTGTACTGACGAACCGAGGGGTCGAGTGGGATTTGCCAATAGCCAGAGGAAAAATCAAGAGAAGAGAAAAAGGATTTATTATTAAATTTTGCTAGGATATCATCGATTGGGGGGGAAGCGTCTCGAGTGGGGAGAATAATAGTATTTAATTTACGAGCGTCCAAGCACAAACGTAGTGTGCCGTCAGCTTTTATTACAGTAACAAGGGGATTATTGTACGGGGAATCTGATCTTTCGATCACCCCCCACTTAATCATCTTGTCAATTTCTTTTTGTACGGCGGGACGACGAGAGAAGGGTATAGGGTACGGTTTAATTTTATAGGGGTCATGAGGTTTAATATTAAATTTATAAGAGAAGAAAGTGTGAAGGCCGGGTTTGTCTTTGAAAATGTGATCATATTTTTGAAGGAGGGAGGTCATTAACTTGTGTTGAGAATCATTAAGGGGAATGTCATTAAGGGCAATATTTTTTTCTGTTTCGAATGGATAGGTTTGATTTATTAAGTGGGAAGGACCTTCGTACATGGTGAAAGGATCATTAGTGACAGTAATATTTTTTAACGAATTAACTAAGCTATTTGGATCATTATCTTGAATTAATTTAAAGGGGATGTTATCTTTGATAGAGGGGAGGGAGATTTCCTTGCTATTGTAGTCTATGGTCACCCCGTTTTCAAGTAACCAGTCGGTACCTAGGATTAAGGGTGTAGACAATTGGGGAACAACTAGAAATATACCGTGTGTTTTATAATTTTGAACATAAAAATTTAAATAGATTTGAGATTTTACTTTAATTGTTTTGTGACTGAGTGCCGTGGTCAAGAGAATGCCTGTGAGGGGAAAGAGGGGAATTGCGTTTGGGTCAGAATTTTGATTTAATATTTTAAAAAGGTCTTCAGAGATAGCAGAGACAGTTGCGCCAGAATCTAAGAGAGCATTGTGAGATTTATTAAAGAGAGTGATGGGAATTTCGGGGCGGTAATTTGGAGGAGGTGTTTGTTCGAAATCGGGGAGAGAAGCTAGTGGGTGGGTGAGTATTGATATATTATGAGGATTGATATTAGAGGGGGACACAGTGCACATCCTCGCGGGCATGGTCAGACCTAGTTTTCCGGAGGAGGGGTAGTGGTAGGGGGAGTTGGGGCGGATTGATTATGAGAATTATATTGAGGGCGTTGATAGTTATTTTGACGAGGAGAATATCTATTTTGTTGATTGGGGCCAGAAGAATTGTTAAATGAATTTCGGTTTTGATTTTGATAAGAGGGTGCATTTTGACTATTTTGATTTTGATAAGAGATTTGACTATTTGGATTATTTGGAGGGGAATGAGCTTGCTGAATGTGGGAGAGTTGTTGAACGAGTTCATTGGTGGTGGTGATGCGGAGACCTCTGAGGTCAATGGAAATGTTAAAGGTGAAGTGGGAAGTGATCTGATCAACCATCTCGGCCTGATCGATTGGTGGCTGCAAGAACCGGGCCTTACTGATCCAATCCATCGCGTGCTTCTGCAGAGATGATGAGTCTCTGTGGAAGTAGGGGCGATAGAGTTCGTTTCGGATTGCGCGCTGTTGATTGGGTGACCAGAACTGATTACGAAATGTTACTAAAAAATCTTGATAATTTGTTGGGGGGGGGGAAGTAGAGTGGTGTACCAGAGACGGGCACCTTCGACGAATTTAGACTTTATATAATTAATTTTGACATTATCGGGGACTGGAGGCTGGGTGAGAAAATATTGTTCGGCCTGTTCAATGAACTCCTCAGGGTGAACTGGAATGAGTTGACCATCATAGGGGGGAAGCTTTGTAGAATCGAGGCTAATGCCAGTGCTGTTGGAAAGGGTGGTACTATTTATTGTGGACGTGGTTTGGTTAGGAAATGATATATTGTAATTAGGGGCGGAAAAACTAGAAGTATTTGAAGGGATAGCGGATTGTGTTGGAATAGGATGAGCGACGGTAGTGGAAGTTAAGATACTATTAAAGGAAACTTGAGGCATTGACTGTGAACAGGTTATTGGGGGGGAAACTAGAGGGACAGAATTTTGAAATTTATTTTCCAGAGCAGCTAGCCTGGCACTTTGACCTTCGACAAGGCTGATCCTATCTCCGAGGGCTCTGATGGTGTCACTAAGCGCGCGTTGGGAATTGATTGCACATTTTTGGGATTCTTGGGTCCGCTGTTGTTGTTGGGAATTTTCGTTTTGTATGGCAATGAGATCTTTGTTGACTGAGGATTGAAATTGTGTGAACTTAACGTTGACTTCAGAGTCATTGTCATCGATTCTAAGACATAGTTCATCCAGGCGCGCGTCGAGTTCACCGAACTTCCGGGAGACATTATCTAGCTGAGAGTTGAACGCATCA